TTGTTATATTTAGACAGTCTGCTGTCAGATGTCGCCTATGTCGATACGAGCAAAGAATATTAGCTGGCAGCCCATCTGACGGTCTACCGCTATGTTTCTGACCTACTTGGCGATCTATCACTGGACCAGTCTGACAACTGTTCCACTTGACGGTTTTCTAATTTATCACCTGACCCCAACGCTAATCCGACAGCACGTTAGGGATTGGGTAAGGGTTAGGGTTAGGGTTAGGGTTAGGCTTAGGCTTAAGCTTAGGGTTAAGGTTGGAGTTAGGACTGGGGTTACGGTTAAGTTTCGGGTTAGAGTTAGGGTTAGTGTTAGGACTAGGGTTTAGGCATACATGTAACAATAGAGATATGAGGTGGAACATCTGGCTTGAAGGAAGGGACGCAATTTTTCATACACGTCAGTGTCCCTAGCTCCCAGCTAAAACCAATCACTTTGAAGTATGAATGGCCCATTTTGTTCCTTTGTAATGCCTGTCTACTTAGATCTCCCGGTGTTAGGTTTTTTAAAGTATCGAAATTTTCTCGTGGCTTCAAAGGTTATTAACGTAGATTTCATTTCCCCCCTTTGCGTTGAAACCAAACGTCATATTATTTGTTTGCACTGCGATATAAAAGTTTAAACCCGTGGGGAGAAAAACGGAAATATTTATGGAAAAGCACTCTGTTTTTTCTTCGACATTCATGACAACAAGATGGGGTGCCTGCACGGATCATGAAGTGGCTTATAGATGCCTCCAGCAGACAAAGCGTTTGATCCTCAGTTTTTCATTCTTCCCCGTCCACCCACACATGCGCAAATACAGTTTGATGAACGACATTACGGCGCACACAAGACACTCGGGCATATAATAACAACAACGATATCAGTTTTGTTGCATTCTTTGTTAATGTTTTGAGTCAGCGCATTAAAAACAAACAAACGGGGAGCATATCAAAGAAACGGAACGAAAGACAAAGCAGACACGGTCCGTCACACTGAATGCTTATATAATATGAATTATGCCCCATGCAATCACGCGAACATATTCTGACAATAGAAAAAAAGAAAACCCAAAACCAAACAAAGACAAAACAACCCTCCCCCCCCCCCCACCCCCATCCCTTTACAACAGAATTTGACTAGCCTGCATTTTACTTTATCATGGTGGATGGGCTGAGATATTCACATAACATTAATGTGTCATTTCGCAAATCCCATTTATCGCGCTTTTCGGTACCTTTCTTCAACTATGCTCTCTCTCTCTCTCTCTCTCTCTCTCTCTCTCTCTCTCTCTCTCTCTCTCTCTCTCTCTCTCTCTCTCACACACACACACACACACACACACACACACACACACACACACACACACACACACAAATACACCCATGGAGTACATCCAATGCTGTTAATAATTTATTTCTTCTTTCTGCCAAGTTTTGAAGGCATAAGTTTTTGAACTTACATAATTAAATCTGTTATATTTACAAGTTTTGGCAGGCAAGTCTAAGCATGAAAGCGCAAGAGAGATTCTGGAATAGTCTTTGTCTTCTGGTACTAAGCCGAATTCATTAGAAGCTGCGGCAATCGGACAAGTATTGTGCTAGCGAATGTGACCTAGCCCAAAGACCTTTCTATGTTTGAGACATCGCAAATGGCGTTAAAGCTGACATTTAAAGTATGGCATTGGTAGTTAGAAACTCGAAGAACACGTGAGAGGTGTAGGTTCAAAAATGTGTAAGACTGAAAGACTAACATTGGCGTCGGTGGCCTTGTGGTTAGGCTCTCGAACTAGCAACCGTAAGGTCGTGTGTTCAAATCCCGTCAGGTGCCTGGTACTGCGTCCTTTGAAAAGACACGTTACACGAATTTTCCTAATTTCCCCCCAGGCGAAAACGAGTAGACAGTGAAATATCTTAAATGTCAGTTTGTTAGTGTTTGAGTGCGTGACATCCGGAACTTGCACTGTATGCTTCTACTGGGGTGGCAATAGTTATAAAAGGCGCAGGACATTAACATGCTGTAGATTGTGAATATGTGCTACATAAATTCATTTATTATCAATAAATATTTTTTTCTGGTAAGGAATGCAGCAGATAAGATGTCCACAAAACTTCTCTAACTTTTTGTATACAGAGAGTTAAAATCTACAGTAAAAACTGGAAACAATAACCTTTTTGGTTGAGAAAACAACAATTGTAGTCTCAACCCTGTGTTGAATAACATAATCAAAGAGCCCCCCCCCTCCTCCCGTCCCCCTGAGTACGCATCAACGCATCCGCCGTTAGAGATGTTAAGGCAACATGAGCCAATATGCTAATTTCACATAAACAAAGACTTCTTCACTCAGCCCAGTCCTATGATACATAAAAAAAAGATAAAACATAGCTTTTTGAAAAGAGAATTCACAAAGTTCCTTGTCAATTCTGTGTGGGCCCACGCATGTGACGCATTCGGGCATGGAAGAGCTATTGGTAGAGTCGAAAAGAGAGGCTTACGCCACTTTTGTTTTTTGGTTATAGCCCTGCACACTTTCAAAGAAAGAGAGAAAAGCTCAAGGATCAAGAAGATAATGCTTCAAGACAAGACGAGTACTGAGAAAGACAGAATGCTGTCTTCACAAGAAACTGTGAAGCATGTCAGTTTCGCTTGGCATTCTCCTTGTTCCTTATTCTTGTTACTTTTCTTCCTCTCTCTATCAATCTCACAATCTCTATCTGTATCCCCCTCCTAAATATATCTCTTTCTCCTCCTTGCTCTCCCTGCCCCCCTTTTTTTCTTTCACATCCCCACCCCACCCCACATTCGAAATGAATTACCATACAAAGTCTGTCTCTCCATTGTTCACACTCCTCTCCATTCATGGTTGTGCGCGTGTACGTGCATATATATTACACTGAACAAAAGAAATTTGAAATGTCAATGCATGTAGATTTATCACTTCAATTCTTTGTTAAAGTGACAAGACGGTTTGTCGTAAAACTTCCAAGCCACGTAACTTTCTCCCCCGTGGATATTGAAGACCCTCTCCTTAAAACCATTCTTGATACTAACCACCCCCCTTCCGAAAAAAATCTTGCAACAGTTACC